TTATAACCGAGGGGCTTGTGTTTTGTTTACTGTTTAAAACCGGTGGTTTGGGTGAGGCTATTAGGGGTTGGAGGAGGCCTCATAGGGGAACCACAGCAGTGTGGGGACCCCAGCACCAGCAAGGGCTCAGCATTTGGGGTGCACTGACCCCAGCCCCAGAAAGGGGACGCTGATGAGAAGCCCCAGTGTGGGTATGGTGAGCCCCAGAGAGGGGGCCGCACTTTGAGAAGCCCCAGAGAAGGGGGCAGGGTGAGACCAGGGCCGCGCAGGGCCCAGAGAGGACAAGGGGGCCAGATTATAACAAGGCCTGGACCGAACAACATCAATTCCATCTGCGAGGCTTGGGGCATGGTAAAGGGGTGGTTGGACCCACGCATAGGTTAGGCTAGGGGGGCCCGGAAGCACCCATTGCAGAGCGGGACCCACAAGGGGTCCGGGAGTCCGCAGGGTCAGGTATTACAACAAACCGTGTCCAAGAGAATGTAAGGCAGCCTGCCATATGTTTTATTCTCTATCAAAGACGTGGCAGGCGAGAAGTGAGGGTGCCCTTTGGGCCAACTTGACACGGGAAGGGGGCCTTGGGGAGATAACGGCCATCCTGCAGGACCCTCTGCTGTGACAGGCTGGAATATAGATTCATAGATGCATAATGTTTCTTAAAGCAGTATTCTGCCCTTTATTTTCTCCATGGCTGTAGTTGAGCAACTTGCAGGAAGTTGAGTGAACGATGTGTCATATTTACTCATGGGAAGTGATTATTCCACTTGGGGCCTAAGAGACACTCTTGGGAGCGTGATATATCCTGAAAGGGGGGCTCCTGCACCTTCCCTTTTGGAAACAGAAATTCTACTTGTATTCTAAAATGAATTCATGTTTTGAAATAAATGTCTAGAGTACTTCTATTTTATACGTGTCAGGTTGGGAGCCTGGTACAACTGTACCTCCATGCCTTTCCTGTCATAGGGCCTGCTTCCACTGTATTCAACACTGGTGAAGTATCACTTTGACTACTGTGTTCAATTTAGGGCACTGCATTTCAAGAAAGATGTGGACATATTAGAAGGAGTCTAGATTACAAGTCTGTACACATGCACAGAAAACATAATCTCCAAAGAAAGCCTGGAAAATTGATGCTGTTCAGTCTAGAGAAGACTGAAGAGGGATTTGATAAGTCTTTAAATACAAAGCCCTCCTGGCTCTTATAAAGAGAATTATGACAGGCTATTCTGTATCTGCAGAAGAGAGGACAAAAAGGTCTTAAGTTGCAACAAGGGAAATTTAGGTTCTATATGAGGAAGAACTTTAAGGATGGCTAAGCAACGGAGCAAAATACTTAGAGGTTGTGGAATCTTCATGTCTGGAAGTTTTTAAGAGTAGGTTAGACAAGTACCTGCCCAGGATGGTTCAAATGGGAACAATCTTGCCTTAAATGGGGGAGACTAGATAATAGGCAGGTGTTTGATCCAGCTTCGGATCTAGCCACTTCAGATGTCAAGAAGATAGGTGCAGAGGTTTGGTGGGAACTTCATCCCAAATTCTTGAAGGCAAAACTCATGTCACGTGTATGTGTTACACCACCGGGGGGGTGAAAACTGCAGGGGTGGTAGACCCTGGTGAGGCCACGAAGCCTGCCAGCTGTGTGCATCTCTCTCTGGGGGAGTCTGGCTTCTGGGGCCCTGCACCTCTGGCTGCTAACAGGCAAAACTTTTCATGTGGGTTGGTGACACTGTGTGTATATTAAGGTGCGCCTTTCCTGGTGCTAGGGCCTCTGTACAACACGGCAGTGTGCCCCAGTGAGGTCTCCTCGCGCCTGGTCCACCATGTTACATGACAACAGGTAAAACAACTTAGCTGGCTCAATACCAGTAGCATCAGCAGCAGCAGCAAAGGTACCCGAATGGAACGGTCACAGAGCCTTTCTTTTTATAAAGGAATTGACAGCAAGAAGTAAAGATGTTGTATTGTGTCGGACATATGATGTTACTCATGGCATGTGACGGCTTATCTTGTGTTTTTATGCCTATATGTTTATTATGGAAAAAAAAAGGAGTACTTAAACTATATCTTTGGAAGCTTTAGGGTTGAAAACCCCTTAGTCAGTTACCTGCAGTTGGTCCTGGATGAAAGAACAGTAAAGAAGCCAGAGGGTGGCCTGGCCCACAATGCAGGCAAGAAAGCCAGTCAGTGAAAATGGAAATGGAGGTATCAGGGGGTGAGGGACAGGCTGGGGGGTGGGGTAGGGGGAAAAGGGAGATGTAGCAGCGCAGGTAAAAGTGCAGAGGTGCCTGGGGTGTCGGATGTCTGGCAGGTCACAGTGTGCCAGAACTCCGCTGTGTATATTGAGTCCATGGGTTTCTGTATCTACTACCTAGGAGGCTGATGAAGTGCAGTTCGTAGGCCCAGCTCTGAAGAGTGGTTTGTACATTCAAACAAGCACTTAACCTCATAACCAGAACTGAAGCCAACTTCCTACAGCTCAAACACACAAAACCTGCTAACTATCTCCAGTACCCCCACAAACTGCAGACCAGAATCTATCAGACAACAAAACCCAACTACCTGTGGGGGCACATTCCTCACGAAAAAAACACTCTGCCTCCAGTCTCTCAGGCCTGATCCTGAGGGGGAACAAATTACAATGCAAACCACATTGGCAGTGGTTGGCGTGGAGGAGACTGGCTGGTGCTGGCACCAGTGCTAGGAGTGCTGGCATGGGAAAGTGGTTGCCACTCTAGCTCTCCTCCTACCCTCTCTCCCTCCCCTGCCAGAAGACCTGGCATCTGCCTTTCCAGCATGCTTCATATTAATCTTTCCTGTGCTGCAAAAGGTCTGTGTGTGTGTGTCACTCCTTTCGTGTTGTGAGTTTTATTCCCTTTGTTGCGTGCGTGCACTGGACTCTTCTTTGATTGTTTGCTTCAGTGTTAAGAGCTATGTAAAAAATTGTGTGCTGTCTGTCTTCTCCTATGAATATCTGATTTTTCTTCTTCATAGTGTGTGCGTGCGTAGGCGTGCGTGCAATCTGTGTGCCTCCCTACACAGTGATGGATCATGCTGGCAGGGAAAACATAGGTTTTCTTTTTTCAAAGTTTGCAAAACAAAAATAAAAGAGCAAATATATAAATTGAAATAAATGAATTGAATAGTACTAAGAGATGCTAGGTTAAATCCTACCCTATCCAAACAACAAAAAGGAGCAGGCAAGTTCAACTACTGAGTAAAGCAACTAGGCTGTCTGCTAGGGTACCATTTCCTGCACAGTTTCTGAGAGAACAAGCTTGTAAAAAGGCACAGCACACCTCCAAACAGAGGCTTTTATGCTGTTTCTAGGTCCCTCCCCCCAGACACTGTCATTGAAAAGGCAGCCAGAGAGAAATCCTTCTCACTGGCCACCTACATGTCAATCTCCCCCACTCCGCACCCGCTCTCCCTCCCACTTCTAACTTTCACTTTCAGCCTCCCCAAGCTTTTCCAAAGCACTTCGGAAGCTCCGAACTGCTTTGGACAGCCTGAATGAGCCAATGCTTTACTCCAGGCATGCTGCTTCAGATGCCGAAGCATCCCCGGATCCAAAGCGCAATCCGAAGCCTCGCACAGCCCTACTAGATATTCTCTGAAGTCAGCTGCAGGGAGCCAGGAGAATGGAAGCAGGGCTATTGATGCATGCAACTCCTAGGAAAGAACACAACTTCCTAGAAACACGGGGGCTGAAGTTACTGCTACGATTTATGAGCAGGGATCCTGGTTTTGTCCAATAAAAAACAAACAAACAACCCCCCCCCCCAC